TGAGTATAAGTATAAGTATAAGTATAAGTATAAGTATAAGTATAAGTATAAGTATAAGTATAAGTATAAGTATAAGTATAAGTATAAGTATAAGTATAAGTATAAGTATAAGTATAAGTATAAGTATAAGTATAAGTATAAGTATAAGTATAAGTATAAGTATAAGTATAAGTATAAGTATAAGTATAAGTATAAGTATAAGTATAAGTATAAGTATAAGTATAAGTATAAGTAAGTATAAGTTAAAGTTAAAGTTAAAGTTAAAGTTAAAGTTAAAGTTAAAGTTAAAGTTTAAGTTTAAGTTTAAGTTTAAGTTTAAGTTTAAGTTTAAGTTTAAGTTTAAGTTTAAGTTTAAGTAGGATAACTTACTTTTTTGCTGTTTATATAATAGAATGACATTATAAATTTACTTTAACTGGACTTTGTATTCAGTCATTTATAATGTTTTGGTTCTGTTTATAACGTTTAGTCGTTTTTGGTCTCTGTCAGCCAAGTCAACGTTTTGTTTTGGCCGAGTGCAATGAACGCTCGATTTAAGTCATATTTTTCTTTGGCATTTGTTGTTCTTTTTGCTGCATATTAATTTTATTGATATTTGTTTTTGTTTTAGGGCGCACGCGTTGCGAGTTTTTGTTGTCTTATCAGTCATATGCCAAAAAATCATCAAATAATAATAATAATTGTCAGAGCATTGCTGAAAGAATTTCATGGTAGCAACTAACTAAGTGCATGCGTGTTTGTGGAAGCGCAGTTGCCTCACTTTTGCTTCGATTTGCATTAGTAAAACAATCTTATCAAGAGCTGGGGATTGGTAAATCGGTATGTTGCAAGAACATACAAAGGAGCGGTGCAACCAGCAGTTGCAAAGTTTGCAATGCGACGAACAAGGAAGCGAACTCGGCTTGCACAATCCGCGCAGTGTAGTCATCGATATCGATAGCTCTCGCTTAGTTATCAATCAGTGATAGCTCTGACTGATAAGCCCGACTGGCCCGCCCGCCAGCTTGGCTGCAACGAACGCTTATCGTGCATATGCACACGCTGCGTATGAGTAATCGTTGAAGTTGAAGTGTAGGTATAACCAAACGGTAACGCTAAGGCTGTGCACACCTTAAAAACGCCACACAACTTGACCCATATAAAGGCAAATTGAAAGCGAGAGCGAGAGCGAGAGTGAGAGTGAGAGTGACAGTGAGAGAGTAGGTTGGGATGGGGCGAAGGGGTTGGGTGTTAGTTGGTGGGTAGCTCGAATATCGGGGTAAGCGAGAGCAGTGGACGAATTTTACAAATCGCTCCATTTAAATCAACAAACCTACGAAGCGTGCTAATTTTGATGTATTTCATAACGGCCTTTTAATTTAAATTTAAGACGCAAAAGACAACAATAACAATAATAACAACGATTACAATGACGGCAACAACAACTAAGTGTTACGTGAAAGCTCAGCCATAAGCTCCCCGCCTGCGCTCACGTCTGACGCTCTCTTTTGCGCTCAGTCACGCATGCGCGGCAGAGAGCAGTGCACTGCAGCAAAAGCGCTTTGCTTTATTTTCTTCTAAGCAGCAGGCAGTCTAAACACAAATCAAAGTGCGCAAGGCAGACGTGCTATTCATTGGATGGGTGGGCGGCCTGTGGGGCATGGCAGCGCTGCGAGCTTGTCCGTGTGTGCGTGCGCAGCCGGCTTCGAAGCGGGCGTGGTGGTGCCTTTCATTGTTGTTGCGGTTCTTTTCGCTCTTGTTGTTGCTGCAGCTGCTGCTGGCTGGCTCCCTCACTCCTCTCCAAAGAGCAAACGAAAACGAAAGCGAGCGTAGACGAATTCGAAGTGGTTCGGCAGCAGCAATGAGACGTCGCGAGTCGTTTGGCGTCGGCAGCTCCATTGCTTATGTGTGCGTCTCTGTGGTTGACTGCGTTGGTTTGACGTCACAACCTCACCGAAAGTCAAATTGCTGTGTCTGTTGCTCATGCGACTGAATCGCTCTAGTAAAGAACTAAGTAATATTGTAATAGTGATATTACATGCATGTAAAAATAGTTACATATTTATTCAGGTTGATTGCGTAACCTGAACGTCATGAATCAAGAGCTTCCCATAATGTTGCAGCGTGTTCATAAATATGAATAAATATTCATAATGCTATAATTCTATATAACACGTGTCACATCAACAAGTAGCATATAAAAACTAAGACATTAATTATATTACTTTAATAATAATATAACTATAATTTTGTCATCCATTCGAATTACAAGACTTGTTTGGCCACAGCACTTTGACTTATTCGGCCCACACTCGCAGCCAAAGCCAAAAGCTACAACAAAAGCAACAACTTGCACGCTAAGTAAACTGCCTTGCAGTGACTCGAGCGATCGGGTTGTTGTTGCTGCTACTGTTGATTTTGGCGTTCCGTTGAGAGTAAAAGTGATTGGGAAAAACTTTTGCTTTTGCTTTTGCTTTTGCCTTTGSTTGTCGATCGCTCGGTTGTTTGACGCTCTTTTGCGCTCTCAATTGTGCTCTCTCCTCTTCTTCCTCTTACTCTTCCTCTCTTTTTCTATGCCTGACTATGTGTGCATGTGTATTTGTGTTGCGCAGTGGCCTGACCACCACCACCATCCACAGGTAGTTGCTGTAAAAGCAGCGCAGTCAACGTCGTCATTTTGGGGCTTTTATTTCGCTTTGCTCTCTTAGCAGTGTGTGCGTGCTTGTATGTATGTGTATGTGTGTGCCTTAGTTGCTTCTTGCTGTTGCTGTTGCTTCTGCTGTTGCTGTTGTTGTTGGCGTTGCTTATTTTTCGGCCGCTGTTGGCGTCGCTGCTTTGCCTGCGTCTCATTTTCTTCGGCGCTGCTGCTGCGCTAAAGACTTTTTGTCACAGTTACAATTTACCAATTGTAAGCAGCGGACGCGAGCGCGCAACGGCCTCACACCGAATAAAGCTCATATAGCTAAGAGCCCATAACGGTTCTTCAGGAGCAACCTTCTAATACAAAGCGTCCGCGTCAACGACAACGGCAGCGCCACCGTCAGCGTTAGCGTCAGCGTCAGCGTCGACGTCAGCGCATACGACTTGTAAATAAAGAAAAACTCGCATATAAAATCTGTTGCATCATTGCTGAAACACTTCAGTCGCTGAATCGCGTGCGTGGAGGCAACACTTTGCGCGACAATAACAACAACAACAACAAAACAAAGTGCAATAACAGCAACAACGGTTCAAGAAACAGTGCGCGCAGCTGCAGTGATCACTTAAAGCGGCTTCTGAAACATAAAAAACAAACAACATCGAAATTTGTAATGAAATATGAGAAAAAGTGCTATGCTCAAAGAAAAACGCATTAAGAAGTGACTTCAAATTAAATACAGTGATGTTTTACAAAAAAATGTAAAAAAATTCAAAGTAAACTTTTATAATTTTTAACTGTAAACAAATTAAAAAAATTACTGCAAACATTTCCAAAGAACATTTTACCCCAAGATAAAAATAAAATATAAAATGATTTAGCGCCAGCTCAAGGCATATTTAGCAAAGATTTATTCAGCACCAACCCACCCCTCGGTCCCTTTGCAAATTGGATCCTAAAAGAAAAGGCATCAAAATTTTACCCTCATTCGCACAACTCAAAATGCTGAACATGGAATCGCCTCAGATGTACGCGGATGCGGTGCAAACGTTGGCGCAGCTCGACCTGAAGAAACAGCCGCAGCCGCTGCCGCTGCCGCAGCAGGCGACAATCGGGCAAATCACGCTGACGGCGATGTCCAGTGCACAGCAGCAGCAGCAGCAACAACAGCAGCAACAGCAGCAGCAGCAACAGCAGCAGCAACAGGTGACAACGGATGCCAACAACAATGCCACAATTCAGGACGCGGCCTTGCTGGTCAAGCAGCACGCCATGCAGCAGATGCAACTGAACAATAACAATAACAACAACAACAACAGCAACAACAGCAACAGCTTGCTGCAGAAGCAAATGCTGCAACAGTACGGCACTCAGACGGATCTGGACGAGCTGACCACTCAGGAGATAACACTGGACTTGCAGCACCTTATCGATGACCAATTCCGGGACACGGAGACCCTGGGCATCTTCAGCGACATGGTGACCAGTCCGGGCGGGCTGTCCGCCACGCTGCCGCCGAGTGGCATGGTCAGTGCGGCCGCCAAAGTGCTGCAGCAGCAGCAGCAGACGCTGGCCAATGCGCGACAGCAGCAGCACTCGTACGGCAGGGCAGCGCTGGCATACATGCCACAGGCGGTGCACTCGAACGCCACTTACAACAATCACTCGAGCGACGAGAACAGCTCCGTGGGCAGCGACTCGAGCAGCACGATCAAGGAGGAGCCCATTGATCCGGAGTACCGCAGGCATCTGCAGGAGTCGGTCAGCAGCCAGGCGGCAGCGGCGTTCATCAACAACAGCAATGGACTCTACAATGCGTACCAGGGCAACTCGCTAGGCGGCAGCAACAACAACAACAGCAGCAGCAACAACAGCAGCAACAGCAGCAACAACAACAGCTCGGCGAACAGCAGCGCGGCGCAGTTCACCAATCTGACGACAGCGAATGTCCTGGCACATCACAGCCTGCCGCACCTGGCGGCCAACGCACAGCAACTGCTCAAGCATCACACCAAGCTGCAACAGTCGCAGCAGCACCACGTCCAGCAGCAGCAGCACGCACAGCAGCAGCAGCACCGCAAGCACAGCAATAAGCACGTCGACAAGGGCACCGAGGAGTATCGGAGGCGCCGCGAACGCAACAACATTGCCGTGCGCAAGAGCCGCGAGAAGGCCAAGGTGCGCTCCAAGGAGGTGGAGGAGCGGGTCAAGTCGCTGCTGAAGGAGAAGGACGCGCTGCTGCGCCAGCTGAGTGAGATGACCAATGAGCTTTCGCTGCACAAACAAATCTACATGCAGCTCATGAATCACACGAACCCCGAAGTGAGTCGCGTCTGCCGCAGCTTTCTCAACACGAATGAACATGCGCTGTAGCTGTGATGAGTAACCTGAGCGAACGAGCGAGAGATTTGAAGGGAGAGATGCAAGAGAGAGAGAGAGAGAAGAGCGCGGAGCGAGTGCGAACAGAGCCTGTACATTTGTGTGATTGGGTGTGTATGTGTGAGCGTGTGCGACTGATTCAATTAAAGCTGTGTGGGTAGCATACAAGCCCAAGGATGTTAAGCAAGCAACGCCGGCAGCGACCAGCCCCAAGCAGGACTTACCACAGGGCAAGTGCCCAAGCCAGCAATCGCCTCAAGCTGCTTTGGCTGTTGACTCCTTGACTCGACTCGTATATCTATTACTTTGTTAACTTCTCTCCACGTCTAATGCAACTGTTGCTACAGCTGTTTCTTCTATTTCTACTTATACGCCTACTTCTATCCTCCTATATTTTCTACGCTGCCTTTGGCATTCCTTCTATTGTACATTATTTTGGCTGGGAGTTTCTTATACTACTTTCTGTGCGATTGTTACCAATGCTTCTTCTTCTATTTTGTACTTAATTTTAATAAATTGTAAAATACTTTTGCCCATTTTTATACAAATTATATAACATAGTATGCATAAGTTAAGCCAAAGAAAAGAAAATGTTAAATATTTATATATACATATATATAA